CCCTGGGCAAGTCACTTAACCCCACTTGCCTAAAAAAAAAAAAAACAACAACCCATTAATTTGACCTCCTTTGTGCCCCACAGCACCTTCCAAAGACTGGACATAGAAGGGGCACTCTAAATATTTTATTAATAGATTCATAAAATGGGGCTGGGGTGTGACTTCTGCCTCTTTTTCTTCTTCTATGCTTACTCTCTGCTGTGTCCTGATTGGGCCCAACCTAGTGGCAACTGTACCGTGCTAGGCTGGTACTGAGCTAAGGCTCCGTGTCAGACATATAGAAGCCAATATCATTGTCACTCACAATCTCTGTTTCTACAGCCAGGATTCTGGGACTTAAAGCCTCTGAAGAACATGAGAAAAGGCTTAATAAGGAAGCAAGGCAATTATCCTCTCTCCCTTGCTTCTTCCCAATACCTCCTTCCATATCTATCTGTAGCAAGATTTAGGAGAGAAAGCTGGGCAGCACCAGGTAGCCACGGACACATGGCAGAGAAAGCACGCAGATCTGGGGAGGTTACAGCAGGAAGGTGAGGAAGGGCACAGGACAAGCATGACAGGGAAGCCTGGTCAGTCATGGGACTTAGGGAGCAATCTGAATGTGGCCAACTGGCCCTGATGTGGATAATTATGAACTGATGACATCGTCCTTAAACTCTACTCTTTGTAAAAACTTTGATTCAGCCAGTTGTCCATTAATCAGTTACTTGTACAGTAGGCAAAAGAGCCCTGGGCTGGGGGTCAAGGGGACCTGGGCCTCATTCCAGCTCAGCCATAAACTGATCCAGTGACAAGCTGCCTTACCTTTGCTTATCTGTAACCTGAAGGAACTGGGCTAGATAATCTCTAAGGTCTGGCATTCTGTAAAGGCTTCTCTGCTTCCTTATGTCATTTCTTCTTTAACCAGGTCATAAAGAGAGCATGAGAGTCAGCATGGGGCAGTAGAGTCAGTATCTGAGTTCAAGCACTGTTCACTAATCTCTAAAATTAACTACTATTTACCCAGCCTCAGTCTTGTTTGTACATAGCTACTTGTACATTGTCTTTCCTATTGGAAAATGAGCTCCTTGAGAGCAGGGACTATGGTGGGTATTTTGTTTTATCTTGTTTTTGTTTGTTTTTCTCTCTAGCAATTAGCACAATTCCTGGCATATAGTACGCACTTAATAAATGCTTATTGATTTGACTTGGTAAGTGGTCACAGGCAAAACTTTAAAGCCTCTGAGCCTCATTTTCCTCATCTATAAAATGAGAGTAGTATTCTTTGCGCAAAGAGGCAGCCTGACAGAGTACATAACTGAGTCAGACCTGAAGTCAGGAAGACCTGGGTTCAAGTCTGACCTCTGCCACCTCCTAGCTGTGAGACCCTGGGTAAGACACTTAACTTTAATGCTCTGGGCCACTTATTAAGATTGTAAGCTACAGAGCAGGTAGTGGTCTGCATTGGAGGAGTTTTCTCATCAGGAATTTTCTATACCAATGAAATCCTACTGGCATGAACACTTTCTAGCAGCCTGGTCCTACAGAAGCCTCTAGAATCCGTGGGCAGGGACAGGGGAACAAAGCAGAAAGTGTGGACTAGATTTTTTTAAGGTTCAGTGCTAGACCTTTACACATTCAGTTTGGTTTCATTCAGTCCTGCCCCGACTTCTCTGGGAAAGCAGTTGTCTCTAATTTCTTGGCCACACCATTTGATAAGGTTTAAGTCCCAGCCTTAGCTTCATGATCCCATGCCTTATGCATATTGAACACAATACTCTCTTTGTGGTAGATGGGCTGTAACTCTGCCTAGGAATGTGGGAGAGAAGAAAGAGAGGGATGCTAAAGGAAGGAGGAAGGATTGGAGCGGTGTGGAGAGATGTGTTGGTGTAGATGAAATTAAACTCTGTCTCACTGGCACTGAAATTTTTACAGTCCTGGTTCTTGGGATAGCCTTGCTACAAATAGCTTGGCACACCCCATGATAAGGCTTACTGGATAGCTTGGCACTTACATAAATGTGAGGAGACAGGATGCTAAAAACAGCTGCTTGTAAGTGGGACTTCTCAGGCAGGCGAGAGAGAGAGAGAGAGAGAGAGAGAGAGAGAGAGAGAGAGAGCAATTACTCATTTACTCAAGCTGGGTTTTAATTCAGGGTGCTTGTAATTCCTCTTAACACCTAGTACTGTTTAAGTGTTCCTGGTCCTCTAGCCTTCCTTAAATAGGAGTAATAGCTAGCTTTTTACATCTAGCACTTTGAGGTTTGCAAAACTCTTTACATGTTATCTCATTTAATTGAGGTAGTTGCTATTATTATCCCCCTTTTAGAGGAGAGAAAAGTGAGGCTGAGTGACTTGCTCAGGGTCTAGGCTAGTGTTCCAAGCAGGATTTGAAATCGTCTTCTTGACTTCGAGTGGCACTTACCCATTATGCTATGCTTTGAAGCTACCGTGGGAAGCACGTGGAACACAGTCCAAATCTGAGATGATGTGGCCTGCTCTGGTAAGGATGAAGAGAACCTCTGGACTCTTGCCCAGATTGATAGAGGGTCAGTCCTACCCTCTCTAGGAATAGAAGATCTACCCTTCCTAGGAGTATTACAAAAGGCATTATTTGCTCACCTGACCCAGCTCACGGAGCTCACAAAGCCAAGATCTGGCCTGTGGATTGATTCCCATGTGGGCAAGTTCAACATGGAGGAAAAAAACAAACAAACTGCCTCATTGATACTAGCTCCAGACAACTGTCTGAGGAATGTGTCCTGCTAGATGGGTGGAAGGAGAGGGACGTGGCTGGAGTAGGGAGTGCAGATGGTACAGAGTAAGGCATCACTATACCTGGGAAAGCAACTCAAAAACACATGGGCGAATAATGTCATATTCACTTACGAAAGAACACACTTCAACCTTTAGTTAATCAGATTTTATTGAATTAGAATCTGCGCTCAAGATGGACTCTTAATGTGTGAGCAGTGAAGGGATGTCAGTGTTTGGCCATCTTATGGCGAAGTCTGGGGAAGCAACTGGACAGGCTAGCAGGGCCCTCCAGGGCTCTCCTCTAGAACGCTGCATTACACAACTACTCTTATCTTTTCTACAGGCTGAGTCAGTTTCGGCATACAAATAACTCACATGATGTAGCATTCTCCCAAAGGGAAGTGTTCCCACCCAGAGAATTATCTGACTCTTAACTCACCCTGAGGGGCCCCAGCTGCTCTTTCGCCACTGGCATTTTTAATTTTGATTTAATTCCAAAACAAAAAACAAACAAAACGAGGGAATTGAGTAGAATGAATGCCTGTGTCTTGAATTTTTTTTCCCTCCAAGTAAAAAGTTCATATTTTCCTCCAGCAAGGAGAGGGGAAAGGGAAAAATAATGACAACCACAAAACACAAAGGGGCAGAGGATAGATGTCATTAAGGTTTCAGATAGCTGAGTATGTAGGGGCAAAAGTTACTGAAAGACATCCTTACTCGTTGAAAAGATGCCCTCCCCTCCCCACCTCCCTTCTCTTTCCCGTTCCTCCTTAAAGAACACTGGTCCTCCCAGGAATATATCCTCTTCATCTTAGATCATTAGTACTGGAAGTCCTTAAGGACCCTCTACTCCACTCCCTTTATTTTACAGACAATGAAACTAGAGGCCAGAAATTTGAAGAGACTTGACCAAGGTCACCCAGCTATTTAAGACTGGACCCCAGGTCTTCAGATCCAGTGCCTTTTGTTTAATGATACTACATTCTGTCAATGGAACTGTGGGTGACCTACTCTGGTTTTCTCAGAAGCATAGATTGAGAGTGGGAAGGCAACTCTGTAGTTATTTCATCCGGTGGTGTCAGACAATTAGAAATAGGGGCCACTAAAGGATTCCTGCGGGCTGCATAGTGACTTAGAACATCACATATTAACATTATCTATGTTCTATTGTATTTTTATTTATTTAGTTATTTCCCATTTACATTTTAATCTGATTTGGGCACAGCAAGACAGAGTGTTGCCAGACACAATGCATATGTTCGACATTTCTGGTCTAGTCCAACCTTTTCATTTTATGCAAGGAAACTGAGGCTCAGAGAGGTTAAGCCACTTGCCTGATGTCACACAGATGTGGCAGAGTCAGGACACTCAACCTCAGGCAACTGAATACTCTAGTACTGTGCCTTGCTGGACCCTCCTTTCCTTGTTTATGAAATGAATTCTCTGAAAAAGGGCACCTCCTTTGTTTTATGAAAAGAAAAAAAAAAGGAATTGTATAATGCAGAAGGAAACCTCCGGCTTTGAAGACTTTGCCTTTCAGATGTGGGCACATATGAGAGACAGTATTTCACATGTGGCTTTTGTAGCTCGGTCGAGGATGAGCCACTGGGACGTTCTGAAGCAGATATCCCAGAAGCCATCAGGCTTCAGTGTATTTTTCTGTGGACTTCAGGGCAGCAACAAGTGGGCTGCTTTCTCTAATAGGATGACTCAAAGAACCGTGGCCTTTCTACTTCACCATTCCCACACCCTCCCATTTAAATGACGCTCTGGAAGCAAGGGTACCAAAGGGTTAATGCACTGTATTAATATGTGGACAGCTGACAATATGCAATGCAAGAATAAATGCATTATAGATACATGTAATATTTCTCTATAGAACATGAACAGAGATATAAAATAAATTAGACTCATCTAGGGTTGGTCTCTGGTCACAGTATCAGCACAGCATGTGAAAGGATGATACCAATGACCAAAAAGCAAAATGGAGGAGGGAGATGGGCAATGTGGATGCATGAAGGAGACGGAGAGCTGTTACTGAGAATTCCAGCAGTGTGGGAACTCAGCGTAAAAAGATTTTATGACAATGAATGGGTAGAAACACTGTAAAAGGGCTATAGTTTGGGTGCAGTTAAGAAAGCTACTGGAGGCAAGGAGTGAAGGATGTAAGAATATTGAATGATAGGGGCAGCTAGGTGGTACAGTGGATAGAGCACCGGCCTTGGAGTCAGGATGACTTGAGTCCAAATCTGGTCTCCAACCAGACACTTAACACTTACTAGCTGTGTGACCCTGGGCAAGTCACTTAACCCCAATTACCTCGCCAAAAAAACAAAAGGAATATTGAATGATAACCACTTTGCCCATCCCATTTTCTGCCAGTGGCTCTGTTGAGTTTCCATAATGTGGCTCCTAGAGAAGTCCCAGATTTTGAAGTGCAGCTAGATTCTCTAATCCCATTTTTCAGATGGGCATACTGACTATCCACCTCCTCCTCCTTAGCAAGCTCTAGCAGGAAGCAGGATGTGAGTAAAGCAGGCCTTCCTTGCAAGGTGTCTTCCATGCTTTAAGATCAGGGAGAAAAGGTAATAATTCTACACCCAGTCTTCTTTGCTTAACTGGATTCTAGATAACTGAACTGCAGGGCCTTCATGGGTGTATACCACATGTGTATTTATTGTTACTCTATCTGTTCACTATAATTTCCCTTGCCTTTGGTGATCAGCAGGCAAATTCTGATGTGCAGCTTTGTTTTCTCTCCCATCCCTCTAGCCCCTTTTCCTGCCTTGAGATCTCTCTAAACAAATGATTGATTAAATGAGTCCATGGCCTAATCAGTAGAACAAGTCCTCCAGTAAACTACCTTGGAGAAGAGATACATCTGAGGTCAACATATTGGCCTCCTCCTTCATCCCGGAAAACAGAGGCCTGAAAGAGATCATCTGCTCCCCTCCTTTCTTATGTCCTACTCTGCCTGGCAAATTTCATATTAGGAAGTCAAATAAAAAATACATAGAAAAAAAGTTAATTTAAAAAAAAGTTAATTGCCTATTATGATAAAAGCCTTTCTTGTCTACTCAGGTTCTTGGTTGGGAATAATAGAAATCAGTCAAGAATTGGAATGCCTTAGCGTGACTACCTCTACAGAAGTATGAATCTAAGGGTTATGGAGGCAGAAGGGACTTGGGGACAAAGTAGGAAGAAAAGGGGTAGGGATACCTATTTTGAATTACAGGGTTAGAGGTCCTTGAATTATCTTATCTGGGTGCTCTGGGTGAGTTCCCAACCAATGCTGGGAGCCTATTCACATGTCCAAACTAGTCAAATCCTAGCTACCTTGATAAAAGTGGTCACCCTTACTTATAGGTGTAATTCTTTAAATTTATGGGTATATGTGTGTTTTATCTCATCACATTTCTTATCTTTCACTCCAGCTCATGCTTGCTCAGAAAATTCTCCTTCACTCTGCCATTTTCCGCTTGGAAGGGGGCAGGAGGTGGGAGGGCAGCTCATTGGGCAGCTCATGCCCTTCCAACTTGACTTTGATGAGGTGGTTGGCCAGGGCAAACTCCTCATCATCCAGCATTCCATCCTTGTCAATGTCTGCCAGCTTCCAGATCTTGCCCAGCACGGTGTTGGGCAGCTTGGAACGCACCATCTCCTTCTTAGCACTGGCCCCTGTGATTTTGCCATCCACTGGGGACAGGGTATAGAAGATCTCATCATACATAGGCTTGTCCCTGGCCACCACCCATTCAGCATCGTCAATGCCCTCACCAGCTCCTTCCCCATAGCCGTGTCCGAAGGGGCCCTGTAAGGTCCCCTCAAAAGCACCCCCCTTCACCATCTGGACCGGCCGCTGTGTCTCTTCCTGACGTACCAGCACCATGAGCTGGGCAATGTCATGGGCCAGCATGTCCTCCACCACCTCCAACAACTTGTTCTTCAGGGGCTGGAATCTGGTAAAGTCTTGGGCCTGTAGTTGGTCCTGAGATGGGTAAGACAAGAAAGAGAAGACAAAGTGAACAGTGTTATTCCCTCCGACTAGGAGACCCCTGGCCTCCCAAAGGCCCCAAAGTGCTTACATATACCTTATCTCATTAATCTGCATAATATCCCTTTGAAGTAGTTAAACATCCCCTCCATTTTGTCTCCACTTACAGATGAGGAAACTGAGGCTGAATTAGGTCAATTTATACAGACACTCACAGAATGTAGTAAATGGTGGTGATGGTAAATTTGTGTGACCTTTGGTAAGTCACATAATAACTCTGGGTCTCAGTTTCCTCATTTGTAAAATGGGGGAGGGAAGGGTGGACTAGATGACTTTTAAAGTCTCTTTCAAAGCTAAATTTGTGATCATGTGGCAAGGGAAATCTCTTAAATCTCTCTAAGCTCTAATGTTCTGTGGCATCTACTCTAGTCCCAAGATCCCCATAAAAGTCAACAGGATCAAGAGAACTCAGGAGCTCAAGGTTCAGATCTGTCCCTCTCTCCCTCTAAAGAGGTATGTTCAGATTTTACATTTACTTGTCATCTTAAGAGGTTCTGAGCCTGACTTTGTCCTCCCTGGCTTCAGCTGAGAGGCAGTGATAAGATGGAGGCTTACAACTGCTGTTGTGGCTGCCAGCCCAATACATGTGTATGTACACATGCCATCTTAGGCCACTAGGAAGATGTCACTATACAGGAAAATAGTCACAGTGTGATGAAAATCCAGGAGAATTTTAAGAAGTGCTGCCACATTTTGAGAGCAGGTGTTAATTTGGACATTTCCAACTTAACTCTCCCAGGGTTTGACTGACAGGAAGTGGAAGGAGCAGCTGATGTGTTTTCATTTACCTAAAGGCAGAGGGTTGGACCAATGATCTTGAAGATGAAGGAGCTGGATTAAAGAGTTTCTAGCAACCTTTCTAGCTGGAGTAATTCAATTCAATTTAACAAGCACTTCAACCTACTCAGTCCAGTGTTTGCTCCATTCAAATTTATCTTTCCAAGAGTCTGCCTTCCTCATGTTGTCTACTCAGTGAACAAACAGGGCTCCCCAGCAATATAAGTGATTCTTCCCATGCTAACCGAGACTTGTGGCAGCCGCTTTCACCAAAATCTCTATTAAATCCCAACCACTACCTGGAAACGGATCCCTATAGGACTGAAGAGTTCATTCAATAGATCAACAGCTAGACATCTAGTCCTTCATATTCTATGAGACATTTTCAAAGGAACCATATTCTTTTTGCCATGTGTACAATCTTGGGCAAAACAACCCTTCATAAAAGTGAATGTGATGAGAAGAACTCTGTTGGAGACCCAAGTCCCAAGCTCAGTGGTGCCCTAATGGCCTGAGAGGCTTTCGTAATTCCACCCACTTCACAAGGAGCTATGATTTCAACACTGAGGCACTGAGAAACAAAGTGCCATCCAAAGAAAGTCTGGGAATATGAAGTTTCACACCTACTTGAGTGTTGGAGTTCTCAGAAATCTCAAGAATGACACATACATACTGTTCCCTTCAAGACTGTGTTCCACATCTCTGACCCAGCGCCCTGTGTAGGATTAATTTATAAATCTGGCTTTCTAATTCTATATTCAGGCCCCTTCTGTGAGACCCTGCTAGTTTTTTTACATTTAACCTCCACTATGTAATCTCAATAATACTCCTGGATCCCCCACACTGGCTGCTCACATGGGGCTTTCTAGGATATTCTCCACTTACCTGCATCTTCTTCAGGTTGGGGAAGTCCCCAGGTGAGATCTGGTGCTCCCGCTCGATTCGCCCATAAATCTCTCCCAGGTTGTTCACCAGCTCTTTCTTCTTGCTGTCTTTCCCAAACACAGATGGCATCTCCTTCTTTAGAGAGCTGACGATATATGCATGGACCTAAGAAGCAAGAGAGATTAAGCATGAAGACTCTCTATCAATACAGGTATAAATTTATCTACTTATGTAGATCTATCTCTATATAAATTATATATCTATATCTAGCTATACAAATTTATATCTATCTACATATATACACATCCCTTTCACCTTTGCTCATTCCTACTCCCATCAATTTCCAAACATTGCCTTCTTATTTTCCCCACCCCCTTACACTCTGCTTGCCCTGGCTTCTAATATCTTTTTATAACTCTGAATAGGAAAAGAGATAGTGCCAGTAGATCAATGCATGGATGATTACAAGGTCTTGGCTTGCCTGATTTCTCTTCAAGGCAACAATCTGGAGGCCATTGTTCCAACAATATTCAATGACCTACGTGTTGAGGGCTCCCCAAGCTACAACTCTTTGACCTGTTCTCCTACATTTTTTTCTCAATTCTCTCATGTTGCTCATTCCTACTCCCATTATGCCCAGTTTCATTCTCCCCACGGGATGGGACATGCCTTGGCCAGCCGTGCCCTCTTGATGAGGTCGTTGAGTTTCCGAAGGGCTGCATTCCTGGGTAGGCTCTGGATGTCTCTGAAGAGATCCTGCTCTTCAGCCTCAAAGAGCTTGCGGTTGTCTGGGATGAGCAGGGGGTGGGACCAAAAGGAGCCAATGTAGACCCGGATTACTTCAGGGGTGTTGACAATCTTTCCCAGGGACCACATAAGGGCCCCGTATACTCTCATTAGCTGCTGTGTCTCAATCTGGTCAGCCTTGTTCAATACCACTCGCATCTTGTCTTCGTGGTTCTTCAGGGCCTTGATGACTTCGGAGAACTCATCAGAGATGTCCAGTTTGTGGGCATCGAAGAGCAGGATGATGCGGTCCACACGTTCTGCGAACCATTCCAAGACAGCGGCAAAGTCATAACCTGTGGGGTTGGGATGGTGTTGGAGAGAGGAACAGAAAGATTTGTCTGGCATCATGGAAGAGCAAACTGATCCAGGTCAGAAAATGGAACAATTCAAGCAAAGGTTTAGCACGTTGGGCCTGGAGTCTGGAAGGCCGATTATGTAGCATTCCTTCCCGGTTGTCCTAGATGTGTTTACTGATCTGAGATCCTTCTGAGAGAAGAACATAGGATCAGAGATCTGGAGTTAGAAGGACTTCAGAGACCAACTATTCCAAACCCTTTATTTTGCAGATGAGGAAACTGAGGCCCATGGAGGGAAGTGACTTACCCAAGGTCATACAGGTACTAAGCATCAGACGGGTGATTTGAACCTAGGTTCTCTGCCTCTAGGCAGTGTTCCTTCTCTTACACCACCTTACTCCAAGCTCTGGACTAGACCAAATACTCGAGAAGACACTAAGTCTTACTGACTTAAAGACTGAATCCTAGAAATTATCTAGGAAAATATTTGTTCATTCAACAAATATTTATTTATGATGATAGCTTAGGCTTATGTTCTACTTTACAGGTTACAAAGTACCTTCCTCTCAATGACCCTGAGGTATTGGGAGCATATTTATTAGGCTGACCCTGGCATTTCACTGGTGAGTGAACTCCCTTCTGTCCACACAGAGAGGCCTCTCCTCTGTATCTTAAAAGGCCTAGAGAGTTTCCTGGGGCACTGAGATGCCCAGGGTCATCTGGGGCTAGCATGAGTTAGAGGCTAGACTTGAACCTCTTTTTCTGATTATGAGGCTGTTTCTCTCTATTCCTTACTCCGTGCTGCCTCTTTATAAAAGTATTCCCATATTACAGATGAGGAAAATAAAGCTCTGAGGCTTAAATGACTTAGCTATGACCTTTTAGCTAGCAACTGGTTCCAATGGAACTCAAATTCATGTCTTTAGTCTCCAAGTCCTGGAATTTTTAAAAAATTGCATCTCCTTATCTTGTCACAGCTAGATAGGCAGCTAGGTGGCTCAGTGGGTAGAATGCTGGGCCTGGAGTTAGGAAGACATGAGTTCAGATCTGACCTCAGACACTTACTAGTTATGTGACCTTGGGCAAGTCACTTAACCCTATTTGCCTCAGTTTCCTCATTTGTAAAATGAGCTGGAGAAAGAAATGACAAACCTAGTATCACTCTGGTATCTTTGCAAGAAAACTGCAAATGGGGTCATGAAGAGTTAGATATGACTGAAACAACTGAATAGCAACAAGGGGAAAAAATAGAGGTGCTATTGTTAGAGGATATAGAATCTTAACCTGGGGTCCACAAACTTTTTTAAAAAAAATATTTTGATAACTATATTTTGAAATAATTGGCTTCCTCTATAATCCAATGTATTTTATGTATTTAAAAACATCATTCCAGAGTCTAGACTACCAAAGGGGTCCATGATACCAAAAAGGTTAAGAACCCCTGTTACAGAAGGTACGTTACTTTCACTTATGCCCACTAAGCCCAGTGAAACAGGGACATTCCCTAATGCCCACCTCAAAGAAACATATGCCAAAGCTTCGTTATTGGGAGCTTTTTGTTCTAACGTCAGATGTCATATACTAGTCTGTCATTTCTGGATTCCTACCGAGTGCTCTGATCATAGTGAATTTGACTTAAAGAGACCCCCAGCAAGCGAGCAAGAAAGACAGAACCAGAGAGGAAACAAGGCAGCGAGGCCACTATTTTGGGCAAGGTATAGGCCTGAGGAGGAATCTCAATTTTTCCAGCTATCACTGCATAGCACTACCCTGATATTATCACAAAGGTGGGAATTGTGTCTCTCCTGTAACTTCCCTAAAAGGCAATAAATATCTTTTGAGTTCTGGTCTAATCAAAGTCAGTGGAGCCAGGGGCAGAGATGACACACCCCAAAGAATCAAAACATGTTGCTGTCACTGGCTGAAACATCATGCCAATAACAGTCTAGCAGGAGCTGCTGCTGCCTGCAGACAGACTGAAGGAGGCAAACTGCATAATTCAGACGGCTGCCTTGCAGCCTCGGAGGCTCAAGCTTTTCTTGCTCATCCAGCCTAGATCATCCAGAATGGTTATTGTTCAGACAGTACCATCTCTGACAGCCCCACATAGGCCCGGTCTGTCTCCGGCTGTCATTCCCCAGCCGGCAATATGGAGAAAGAGAATCTTAACGGGGCCAGGAGCACTTTTTTTCCTGCTGGTTTGTTTCTGGGTATACAAAACTCCCGGGGCCTTTCTGTATACACTTTAGGCAGGGGAAGTCAAAATATTATCATCATTTAGAGGAGAGATGTTTCAGAGGCAAAAATGGGGATGCTAGCTCTTCTGAAGCCTCCCGGATCACTAATGCCTTCAGAGAGGCTGTGAAAACTCTAAGTAGCACAGGGAAGAAATGTATTTTTAAATATTCTACCTGAAGAAGTAAGAAATAGGCCAGGTACCTAGGATTTCAATGGTATAGGGAACTCCCAGAGGAAAAAGCTCCTTCTATAATGCAAATTGGCACCCTTTCTTCTATTTATAGCATGAGAATTGCCTGGGGTACTGAAGAGTTAAGTGACTTGCCCAGAGTCACAAAGTTAATATGTATAAAATGAAGGGCTTTTTCTGAGGAGATTTCTCTATCCACTATGATTGCTTGTGTCAAGAGGGATAAAATCAACATGAAATGAAAATTAGAGGTGAACTGGCCGATTGTTAAACTGTCAGTGTGAGCATTAATCAGCAAATGCTACAAATAGAGGCTTGATTTATTGTTTTGTTGATTTCCAAACTTATGAAAGTGAAAGAAAATTGTTGATAATGCAGATTAAACTTCAAAGTGTATCATGTGTAAAATTTTTTGAGGGAAGAACCAGTTGTTAAACATTTACAACTATATGACTGAATGAAATGCTTTCAGATAGTGATGGCATGTGTCAGTTAACCTACACCCATTTCCTGAATGCCTTCATAGAATCTTAGAGCTGGAAGGGCTAAATCCAATGAACTTTGGTTGGGTTTCAGTTCTGCCCCTTTATTTTTTGACCCATAGTAGCTATGCTATTTGACTTGGAGTCAGAAAGACTTGGGTTGGAATTCTACTACAGACAGCGTTCTCATCTTTGAAATAGGGATAATAACAACTGTAGCACCTTCTTCGGAGGTTGCTGTTAGGACCAAATGTGACAATATATGTATAAAATGATTTGTAAATTTTAAAGAACTTACATAACTGTCAGGTATTATTATGACTATATTATTTTTCAGATGAGCACACTGAGGCCCAGGGAAATAAAGTGACTTAACTATCATAATTTAGCATTAGAAAGGAATTTAGAGGCCCCAGAGTCTAATACTCTCATTTTAGAGATGAGGAAACTGAGGCATAGAGAAACTGACTTAACTGAGGTTAACAACAATACAACTGGTAACATTTATATAGCACATTAATGTTTGCAAAAAACAAACAAAAACCTTAAAGATTTCTAAAGGGTGTCCCAAAAGTCTGTGTAGTTCTTTTAAACTTTTTTGAAAGCTTAAATTACATTGAGACTTTTGAGATGTCTTAAATAAAGCTTAGATGTTTGCAAAGCACACATATGTATATATACATAGATATAGTTGTCTATGTACATATATACACACATATGTACACAGTATGTGTGTGTGTGCACACATACATTCCTGCAAGATAGGTGCTATTATCTCCAGTTTACAGATGAGAGACTTTCTTCATTTACTTGAGTGCATATCAACATATGAGAAGGTAAGTCTATGTTTGGTAATTATTATAAGACTGATTTAAAATAGATTGAGCTCTCTGACAAAGTCTATTAGACTTACCTTCCTTGGAGCTGCAGCTGGAACGAAACAAGTCATTTCAGAGGATGCCTAAAAATAACCTTGGGCAAAGGCAGAGTAATCTTGGGTTTGGTGAAGGCCTGTAAATTAGCAAATCCTTTCATCCCCACCAGTCCTGAATGGATCCTGGCAGTAGGCAAGTTAGAATTTTAATAGCAATTTAATGTGCAAGCTGGGAAACTACAACTGTTTTTCTTCCAGATACTACTTGAAACCAGGGAGGGAATTTTCAATATGACAGAGTCCATGGGAAGGGTTAGGAAAACCTAGGTAGTCCTACTGGTTTTGAGGGCAGAGAATATATATATGTGTGTGTGTGTGTGTGTGTGTGTCCTGAGCACCAAGCACACAATGCCAAGGACCAAATATTAATGCTTAGTGGTGTAATTTTAGGTTAAGTCACTTAATCTCTGTGGGCCTCAGTTTCTTCAACTGTAAAATAAAGAGTTTGGACTAGATGGCTTCTGTGGGGACCATCCTCTTCTATTCTTTCTGCTTCCTCCCAACTTTTACATGGTTTTCTCTATCAGGGACCCCAAGGACCAGGGAGTCTTCAAGAGGGGAAGGCATCCTTCTCTTTCTATAACATTTCCTTTTCTAGAACAAAGCCTCCCTCCCTGCTGCCAGGTAGACATAGCACCCCAGCTAACTCCTGTTGCAGCTAAGCTGATCAGTGCCAAACATACCAACTAGCTTCAAGTTGTAGTGCTCCATCCAGCTGGGGCAGGCAGCCTGCCACCCTGAACCCTCACGGGACAGCTCCATCCTATTTTTAAACCTCCCAGTCAGCAGAGACATGGGGCCAGGGCTGCTCCAAGATTCTAGAAGCTGTCCAACAGAACTGCTGCCCCTCAGAAGGTGCTGAGGTGACCTGGAATTCTCAGAGGGAGCTTCTGGATCACAGATTTAGAGCTGGAAGGGACCTTTTGGTTGTTCAGTGATTTTACAGTTTTCTCTGACTCTTCATGATCCTGTCTGGGGTTTTCTTGGCAGAGATACTGGAGTGGTTTGCCATTTCCTTCTCCAGCTCATTTTACAAATGGGGAAACTGAGGCAAAGAGGGTTAAGTGATTTGCTTGGGGTCACACAGCCAGTAAATGTCTGAGGCCAGATTTGAACTCAGGAAGATGAGTCTTCCTGACTCCAGGCTTGGTAC